ACTGGCCATTTGTACTTGGGTACATGATACATAGACTACTTTTAAATAGAGCTTTTCCATTGAAGAGTCAGCCTTCAGCTAGTCACACACGTTCATACACACTGATGGCCATCGGGAGCAATTTAGGGTTATTGCCCCAGCAGCACACAACACCATGTTGACTATAGGGGCTGGGAATCAAACCACAGACCTTCCAGTTGGTTGACAACGACTCTACATCGCAGTCGGTCAAATGAATGATGCGACGAGACGTGAGAGTTTGAGCAGTTTTACAAAGAAAGATTGGGGAAACTGCAACGTCCAAATAAACAAGTCTGATGGAGACGCTTTCTCACTGAATTCAGGGTGAAGTTATCGCCAAAAGTTGCACCTACTGATTACTGACTATGGGGCGACAAATGCTTATGCAAAGAAGATATTTGTATTTGCTCATTATGATGGAATAGAGCTGTTGATCTGGGTCCAAAAACCACTGTCAGGTCTCCAGGTGGATCCTTTAGCGCAGCCGTGATAAACAAAGTCATTGTGTTTTCATCCCACCGTGCAAAATACTGGAAATGTAATCTTCAGTTTCCCATAACAGAATGACATTATGAAACTAAGAGATCCAGCAGTGTTCATCGGACTGTCGTCATGTCAACCTGCTGTCAGCAGAGAGAAGACGGTAATTATTTAATGATGGTGACTGGCATGAAGACGGACTAATGGAGGAGTTGGTCGCTTATTAACCAGCACAGATCATTTGTCCATGTCAGCGTGATTACTGTTTTCATTGTGTCTAACTGTTCCCCATCTGAGCGGGCAGAGGATAATGTGACGGCTCATTACAGGAGAAAGGATAATGTAAGAGTAAATAGCAAAACATCCAATTTACTACACGACCTGCAATTATTCTCATGTTTGTGTAAACGTATAAGTGGCCTGAGCTTTCTCGCACGCTATACTTTTCTTATTACAAACATGTTTTTCTATCTTTCAATAATATACCAGTTCCTGTCTGAGGCACTCAGCTCAAAGCCCATTGGACCATTTCAAAGAAGTAAACTTAAAGTAGAATACAGCACACATTTTATTAGTACATGAAGCATTTGATGGGGACTATTTTCAGAGGCGGATTAATCTACATTTAGTGAGCATTTGTGGCAGCAGGACGGTGTGTGTGTGTGTGTGTGTGTGATTAAGTCAAAATAAATGTGTGTGTTCATGGTAATATGGGAATATATCACCCAGTGCAACAGTGTGGCTATATTTGGAATTAGAAGAAGATATATACAGTATCAGGCTAAGATACACACTCAATCATTATTTGTTATTGCAATTAATGTAATGTAATCATAGATGATTACATTACGTTACATTACACGTCACTTGTTAGACGCTTTTATCCAAAGCGACTTACATACTCAACACTGAGGTCAATCCCCACAGGAGCACTTTGGGGTGAAGTGTCTCAGGGACACACCGACATGCTGACTGCAGTGGGGTTTGAACCTGTGCCCCCCTGATCCCAACACCTACGGACAATCCACTGCGCCACACGCCTCCATTATCATGTATGTGTGTGTATGTTAATGTAAGGTCACTCCCTCCTGTCACTCTGCTGGGAGTCCAGACACCCGTCTAGTCGCTGTGAGCCTCGATCAATCGACCGGGGAGCAGTGTAGGGATCTGATGCCTTGCTCAATGGCACCTCTTAAAGTATCAGTGCATTGTTTATCCTCTGGTTCCCAAACCAAGTCCTTACAGACTGAGCCACTGCATCCCATAATATTTGTTGCAAGGGGCATTTTTGTAGTAATGACCGTTTGTTTCTGAAGTTTAGACTATTGGGTCAATGAGACCTTTATCGGTCGATTGGGGTATTGAAATAACGGGCCTTTTTCTTTTTGAGAATATGAATGAAATTGGAGACAATATAATCTTGAGTTCTCAGACTGGCATCATGGTTGTCCAGACTCTGTTTTGAAACTCTACAATGGCAGATTTGAGCTCTAAATCTGGTCCTCAGTCAGACTGCAGCCCCCCCTCTGCTGCTCTCCAGATTCTATAGGCTCTCTCCCACTTTGTCTGGCGACATAAATGTCAGCCATTATTACTAATGAATCGATCAGCAGGAGACTTCCTCCCTCCCTGCTGCTGGAATTAATTGGAGATTTAAAATTTCACTGAATTATTGACACACCAGCAGAGCGCCGGGGCCGAGAGTCAGGAGATTAAAGACACAGGCGACGAAGGTTTGCAGCTTTCTGAGCGTCGGTAGATCTGCCCAAGAGGAGATCAATTCACAAAGTATGGTGCCATGTTTTGGAGCTGCACATCAGCCGAGCATTATGGGTATTATAGTATTTAAAGCTGTCGGAAAAATCAACAGAATAAACATGATTCCACAGAAATGAAGTGGAAATAATGAAGTGGTTGTCATAATTAAAAACAGACTTTCCTGGATGGAATTATGCTTCAGAAAATATTAAAGTGATTATAATGTTGAGAATAAAGAAAAGGCAGCCTCATTCATCTACTTTTGTATTGAAGTCCCAAAACCCGGAAATGAGTTGCCTTTTAGTTTTTCCGATTCCCTTGTCTCGAAGTCAATGGTTTTTTGAGCGTGTTTTTGTGGAGCCATTTCCAAATAGCAGTAAGCACACAATTGTAAAATAGTGAAGGCAAAGCATGGGATAATATCTGAATGAAGTACTGTGGTGCTGCAAAGAAGTCCCAACCTACAAAGGATATTCTAGATCAGGGGTCACCAACCTTTTTAAGCCCAAGATCCCCGACCTCGGCCTTGGTGAAAGGCGAGATCTACCTTTGCAATTGAGTGAAAAAGACGGCCCAGACAGTGCTTCCAACTTGAGGCCTTTTATGTCGGCTACTTGCATCTGAATTACATCAAATCATTTGGTGCAACTTCCGATTTGATTAAACCAAGAACACAACATAACTAACATGTCAAAAAGGATAAATACATATATTTACATCATACCTATCATTTTAAGTTTCATTCATTCCTTCATTATAATCCTAAATATACATGTATGTAGCTTATTTTCCATTTGTTTGAGTGAATGTGAATTATTTTGTGGACAGCAACAACAACAAAGAAAATAACATCTTGCAGTGAGCAGATAACATAAAGTGCCATGTTAACTGAGAGGCTTCATGCCAGTGCAACATTAACATTACAACTAGTTATTTTTAACACAATTCTTACAAATTCAAAATTCTAGCAACATTCTTTATCCGTGCGTAGACCATTGGTGCGTTCACACCGGACGCGGTGCGAATTTTGGGGGCGGCGCGATTACATGCAAAGACGCGGACAGACGCGGTTGATGTGATTTACGCCTTTGCGCGGTAGCCAATCAGCGGTGAGGATCTCAGCCTGCCGTCACTGACTGACGTTAAATCAGAAAACCAAAACAGCAGCCGTTAGCTGTTAGAGATGGCAAATCCGGATCATTTTATGGACTCGGAGTCTTCTGAGTCAATCATTGAAGAGATCCGGATCATACGAGTCATTTGAGTCATATGAGTCAGCATGACCAAGACCGTAGAAATCCTACCGGTGAAACCGAAAAGTTGTTGCATTTAACCAGCATATTAAACTAACGTTACATTAACCTCCGCTACACAGTGTCTTTTGCTTTAATAAAACATGTGTGTGTGTGTGCATTTTAAAAAATAAGTGTTTTGCATTATATGTATATAGTTATTTTAATATGTTCCTGTACTTAAGCTAATTTTGCACAATTGTGTTTTCATTTAATAATAATAATAATAATAATAACATTTTATATATTCTAACTGTTTTGCAATTTTCTATCATTTGTTTCTTTTTGTGTGCCATGTTCAAAATAAACGAGTTTCCAAGTAAGATCCTTATTGGAAATGCAGATATTATTACAGGAGACTGTTGCACAACATGACCATTTTGTTAGAAGTCTACACTGAAACTTAATTTAGAGCCGGAAAAATCGCGGGATCCGTGAATCCAGGTCAATGATCGAGAGAGACCAGTAGCCTACGAGGACTCAGAGCCGTAACATATAGCAGGCAGCAGATCCAGAGATCCAGCAGACTCGTCCCCATGCACGAATCTACAGCAGACTCAGCCCCTCCTCCGGCTCGCACGGCTCCCGCGAGTCCCACGGCTCCCTCGGCTCCCTCGACGAGTCGCAGCAGACTCAGAGATTTGCGGACTCACGGCTCACTCACGGCTCACGGCTCACTCACGGCTCCCGCGAGTCCAACGACTCACGGCTCACTCACGGCTCACTCACGGCTCACGGGACTCTCGCGGGAGCCGGAGGAGGGGCTGAATTTGCTGTTGATTCGTGCATGGCGACGAGTCTGCTGGATCTCTGGATACAACAACGTTGTAATGTGATTGTACACGTTATAAAGAGAGTAAAGAGTGACGCAATTTATAGTTTTAATTGTTACGTCACATCAGGTGTAGGACTCAAAGGACTCGGGTTAATCGAGAGGGAGACTCGTCACGACCGGCTCATTACTAGGATCCGGGTTAATGATCCGGATGAATCATGACTCGCCCATCTCTATTAGCTGTTAGCACACAGAGCTCACAGCTCCTCATATCTGTTCAGAAACTGGACCAAAGTTAAACATGAACAAAACGCAGACTGTCTGTGTCATGGAGAATACAGTCGCTGCTTTATTTCAACGTTGTTGTGAGTGTGGACGGACGGAGCAGCTACAACGTTAGTTGAGCCTGATCGATCCGATCATTCAGAAAACACGCATTTTAAAAAGGTTTTTCCGTCTGTCTGCAGACTTGTCAAAGTATTAATTCATGTTTCTTACTAACCGGTCTTACTTTTCGGGAGCGACAAGGAATGTCTCAAAGATACATACGTCAATCAAGTGGCACCTGCTAACGGGGTGGTGGATGAAAGGCGTATCTAAAAACTTTAGTAAAAAGAAAACATTATTATTCTTTTTACTTTTACTTTTTTAGTTTTTAACTGTGCGCGATCTACCCACACCACACTCGCGATCGACTGTTTGGTGACCACTCTTCTAGAGGCTTCCATGTTTCCTTCCATGATAATACGTATATATTGTTTAATGATGATGTGAATAATGTTTGAACATTTTTTCTAATATTGCAATATCAGTCCAAGTGTTCGCAACTAGTTATTTTCAAAATCATGCAGCCTTAATAGAGACACATTACAAACTCTTCTAACTGAGTCTTAGACCAGTAGGATTTCTCCCTTGTGTCACTTGACCTGATAAACTGTTCTGTCACAGCGTTATTCAAACTCTCTTTAAAGTGCTCCACCCTCAGCGGTGAGGAGCTGTGGATCGTCACTACTCATATATATCTTCATGCATAAAACATGTTTCAGCTTGATATTAAATCGTCTCCATCGCTTGCTTCAACTCAGTCTGTCAGAGAGCCTGAACCTTTCATATCAGCATAAAAGTTTTAAATTGAGTGCAAATGTAGAATAAGTTCCACTTAAATGGTCATAGAGAAAGCAAAAGTCAGCAGGACTGGCACTTTGAATGTTAAGAGCTCTATGGATCATATCCAGATTTAAAAGAAACTTTTTTAATATTTAACAAATCAATAAGAGTAAGTTAGGCTTCTTAGATGTCAGAGATGAGGCTTAACATTTGAAGACAAGGAACCAAAAAGTGAAGAAATGTAACTAATTAGACCCTCCAGAAAAACGCGATTCTGCGATCGCAGAAATTACCGCATAATCAGCAAAATGGCGCAGATTTTTAAAAGGCCGCATAATCCCCGCATTTTTCCACACAAAGTTGAGGGGGAAAAAAGTTAACTCGTCTTGGCGTGAAGTGATGATGATGACGCGACGTCATCAGCTCGCGTATCACAGAAGGTAAACAACACCGTAGAGTGAACGTGTGGAGCTCACACGAGAGAGAAAACACCAAGATGAAAAAATCTAATCCATCTCATTTACCGACGAACATTTCTGCTAAAGACCGGGCAAAGCAGTACCCGATGTCACGCACGAAATGTCTTTCGTGCAATGTCTTTGATTCATTCAAACATTCGAAAATGCTTTCTGCTGCTGCGGACAAGAAAGCCAAACAACTCACGTTCACCGAGGCATCGACCTCCAAAACCCTTTCGAGGGCTACAAGAAACGAGGTGAGAAGCCTTCAAGATTGAAGCTGGTCAGATAACGAACGAGTAAATGAAAACAGAATGAGGTGGAGAAGTGTGTGTGTGTGTGTGTGTGTGTGTGTGTGTGTGTGTGTGTGTGTGTGTGTGAGAGAGAGTGTGATTAAAATAGCCCAATTTCTTTTACAATAAATAAACATTGAATGTGTTTAATTGAATAGTAAAGGGGTTTAACGTTAGTGGCAGGTTGTGTGTGAGAGAGAATAAATAAATAAGACAGCCCAATATTTATTTTTTTCCGCATATTTCGCAACTTCCCGCAAATTCACCGCATAAAATCACATAAAACTCTGCATGTTTGATCGCATGATCAAGGATTTTAGCCCGCGTTTTTCTGGAGGGTCTAACTAATGATAACTTCTAATGTTCAGGGTTTAACTAGATGAGGTTCTGCTTTAAACCTGTAGTTTGCTCAGCGGACTGATATCTGATAGTTGAATTGGAGGAGAAAATAGTAAAGGACCAAATACGGATCCCTGCGGTACTCCAGAAGAAAAATGGGTATCGTAGGATTTACATAATCATAAAAAAAGATAATTTAAATTAGATAGAAATAAAAAATGGTTGAACCAGTTCCAAGTATGCCTTCCTTATGTGAAATGAAACTCTTTCGGTCAGCTTCTTAACGTACTATGCGCTCAAAAACAGGAGGCCATTGTCATGATATAAAGTACAGAAAGAATAGCAACATCTAAAAAGTCATGAGTTACATCCAAATCCATTTACCTCGGGCGTGAACGTTTTACTTTTGAGTTTTCTTAACATTGTCGGAAATGCAGAAATCCTACCGGAGCGACTTTTGAATCCTGACACTGTGATAAAGATGTCAAATAAAGACAGTATGACTGTGATTATGTAAATGAAGCTCAGACAGTTAAACAGTCCAAGCGTTTATCATCAAATTGACTGCAGGGAAAATTAGTTTCCGACTGAAATATGTAGAAGAGATGCACATTTATTGCATCACTAAAAGAAAGACAAAAGTTATTCAAATATAAAGCGCGGAAGATTCGGTCTTGAAACCTCGACTGGAACAGCGTTGTTTTTATTGAGTGTCATTTTCTGCAGCCTGTATCAGATCTTCTAGCAGCCAAAATGATTTGATATCTTGATCACTTTATGTTCAATAAAACTCTGGTGTGCAGATTAAGGGAACAAGCTGTGCCTCCAGCGACACTGCACAATCCTTTTAACGCCGGCCCAATTTTTCCTTTCAAATTGCAAATGTCACAGACGAAGCGTGAAGTGGGGGAGTTATGAAAGTCATCAGTCTGAGAGGGGAACTAAACAGGAGAACCACAGTCATCACTAATAGCTGTTTGCTCTGAGTCAAGGTGACGGATCAGATTCATCAGGAGCATCTGGAGGATTCGGTTCTGATGATACGTTCCGATTGGTCCTCTGGTTTAGGGTCTGATCGGACAGGTAAGACAGGAAGTCAGAGCGAGGTGAAGTGGCTTCGATGGAGAAAGGACCTCTTGCTGTGTGACTCGATATATATTCTAATATCATGAATCGGGAATAAATGAAGTAACAATAAAATAAAAGAAGATAATATGTAATGATTATATAAAAAATTATTTAAAAAAATAACAATTAATATTTAATTCACAATTAATTTCAAGATCATGAACCGGAACAAAAATAAAACAAGGTGTTCTGCTGTTCCATCACATGACCTCTGTGTTCCTGCTGTCCCATCACCTGACCTCTGTGTTCCTGCTGTTCCATCACATGACCTCTGTGTTCCTGCTGTCCCATCACATGACCTCTGTGTTCCTGCTGTTCCATCACATGACCTCTGTGTTCCTGCTGTTCCATCACATGACCTCTGTGTTCCTGCTGTTCCATCACATGACCTCTGTGTTCCTGCTGTTCCATCACATGATCTCTGTGTTCCTGCTGTCCCATCACATGACCTCTGTGTTCCTGCTGTCCCATCACATGATCTCTGTGTTCCTGCTGTCCCATCACATGACCTCTGTGTTCCTGCTGTTCCATCACATGACCTCTGTTTTCCTGCTGTCCCATCACATGATCTCTGTGTTCCTGCTGTCCCATCACATGACCTCTGTGTTCCTGCTGTCCCATCACATGATCTCTGTTTTCCTGCTGTCCCATCACATGACCTCTGTGTTCCTGCTGTCCCATCACATGATCTCTGCGTTCCTGCTGTCCCATCACATGACCTCTGCGTTCCTGCTGTCCCATCACATGACCTCTGTGTTCCTGCTGTCCCATCACATGACCTCTGTGTTCCTGCTGTCCCATCACATGACCTCTGTGTTCCTGCTGTCCCATCACATGATCTCTGTGTTCCTGCTGTCCAATCACATGACCTCTGTGTTCCTGCTGTCCCATCACATGACCTCTGTGTTCCTGCTGTCCCATCACATGACCTCTGTGTTCCTGCTGTCCCATCACATGACCTCTGTGTTCCTGCTGTTCCATCACATGACCTCTGTGTTCCTGCTGTCCCATCACATGACCTCTGTGTTCCTGCTGTCCCATCACATGACCTCTGTGTTCCTGCTGTTCCATCACATGACCTCTGTGTTCCTGCTGTTCCATCACATGACCTCTGTGTTCCTGCTGTCCCATCACATGACCTCTGTGTTCCTGCTGTTCCATCACATGACCTCTGTGTTCCTGCTGTCCCATCACATGACCTCTGTGTTCCTGCTGTTCCATCACATGACCTCTGTGTTCCTGCTGTCTCATCACATGACCTCTGTGTTCCTGCTGTCCCATCACATGACCTCTGTGTTCCTGCTGTCCCATCACATGACCTCTGTGTTCCTGCTGTCCCATCACATGACCTCTGTGTCCCATCACATGACCTCTGTGTTCCTGCTGTCCCATCACATGACCTCTGTGTTCCATCACATGACCTATGTGTTCCTGCTGTCCCATCACATGACCTCTGTGTTCCTGCTGTCCCATCACATGACCTCTGTGTTCCATCACATGACCTCTGTGTCCTGCTGTTCCATCACATGACCTCTGTGTTCCTGCTGTTCCATCACATGACCTCTGTGTTCCTGCTGTCCCATCACATGACCTCTGTGTTCCTGCTGTCCCATCACATGACCTCTGTGTTCCATCACATGACCTCTGTGTTCCTCTGTGTTCCATCACATGACCTCTGTGTTCCTGCTGTCCCATCACATGACCTCTGTGTTCCATCACATGACCTCTGTGTTCCATCACATGACCTCTGTGTCCCATCACATGACCTCTGTGTCCCATCACATGACCTCTGTGTCCCATCACATGACCTCTGTGTCCCATCACATGACCTCTGCTGCTCACCTGAATATTTACCGGTCTATTGGGTCTGTTGTGCTTCCGCTTTAGTTTCTTTGTGGCTCTTGCAATGTGAAGTAACTTTCTAATGACCCAGCCCTGGTCCCAGAGTCGTGATTACTCTTTTACTTTTTATTTTCTAAGATTTAACAATTACAAATATGCCTTGAAAATGAAAAAGAAGAAGTGGAAGAAAAAGAAAACACAAGTGCAGAACACATCGCTGAGAAAAAAGATCCCTCAGTACAGAGCTAAGGTACGACACAATACAAGTCTGCACAGAAATCTTAAAGAGCGTCCCGTTAGGCTGAGCGTCCCGTTAGGCTGAGCGTCCCGTTAGGCTGAGCGTCCCGTTAGGCTGAGCGTCCCGTTAGGCTGAGCGTCCCGTTAGGCTGAGCGTCCCGTTAGGCTGAGCGTCCCGTTAGGCTGAGCGTCCCGTTAGGCTGAGCGTTCCCGTTAGGCTGAGCGTCCCGTTAGGCTGAGCGTCCCGTTAGGCTGAGCGTCCCGTTAGGCTGAGCGTCCCGTTAGGCTGAGCGTCCCGTTAGGCTGAGCGTCCCGTTAGGCTGA